TATTGGGACATCCTGATAGTAAAGAGTTACAGTAGTCCAGCCTGGAAGTAACAAATGCATGGACCAGTTTTTCAGCATCTATTTGAGACAGGATGCTCCTGCTTCCTGGAAGAGGGAAGGATGGGAGGTCACTGGAAACAACTGAAAATTCATCAGCCAGAGGTTTTCAAGATTTCATGTTTTCACTTGGCAGTAAATGTTGAGTTGTTTTTAGCTGCGCTCTTTTGCTGATTTTGGCTAATTGTGTGACTGCTTACAAAGTATGTTACATTAGTTTTATAGGCATTTCCCCATATCGCCACACAGGAAGTACAAGTCATCTGTAGAGCTGATGATCTATTATAAGGCCCAGAAATTTGCCTGGTTCACATGTTAACACAGTTAAAAGGTCAAATTAAAGGTCACTGAGCCTTTGCAGTCATTGGACTTTAAAACAATATTATACAAAGCCTTTTAAAAAGCGAAATCAGGGGACCTTTGTCTTAAAACACATCTTCTTTGGCTTTTTAATGATCTTACTAATTAATTTATGATTTGCAAACATATTCTTGTACATTGCTTTATGTATTTTCTTCTGCTTCTAATTCATTTCTGCATTTCTTCTGTAATTACTTTGCAGTAATGCTGGCACCACGACCACTCCTCCATGTCCTCGGTCTTGCAGGTTGGTTCAGGTGCTGCTGTACATGACCAGTTCTTTATTCATCCCAACATTTTATAGACATGTTGCAGAAAGGCAGTGGAGGAAGAAGTATTTAAGTTTACTTAAGTAAAAGTAGCCATACCTGTCAGCTCGGCGCGACCTGCCTCTTCTCCTTTCTCTCCCTCAGCAACACAGCTGAGACACATCCACCCGCTGATTAACTCCAGGACGTGGCACACAGCTGACGCTCATCCCCGCTAATCACCTTCCTTATTTAAACCGCTGGCAGACGTTCATTCGTGGCCAGAGCATTGTATGTATATGGATTGTGTTACGCCTATGATTTTCAACGCTGACAGTTCCTGTGCTGTTGATACGCTTTGTGGCGTTCTTCCCTTGCCGTGATGATCTCCGGCTAGCGTTACTGCTGTGGGTGTCTCACGGTGATCCTTCCAGCCGTGGGTGTCTCACGGTGATCCTTCCAGCCGTGGGTGCCTAGCGGCGAGCGCTACACCTGCCCGCTCTTCTGTTTCCTGTGTCCCTCATACTCACCTGCTCGTCCTGGTATCAGCCATCACTGCCCTACCCTGGTTATGAACTATACATAGACTCAGTTACTTTGTTTGCATTCTCAATAAAACCATCTTTTCCACCTGGGTCTGCATCTTGAGCTCTCCCTCACCTCCTGGTGAGAGGAGGCAACCATAACAATACCACAGTGTTGGAATACTGTTACAAGGAAAAGTGCTGCATTCAAAACGTTACTTAAGCTACAAAAGTATTAAAATGTATATGAAGTGGCAAAAGTAAATGTACTCATTATGCATAATGGCCCGTTTCATATTAATGTATATTGTGTTCATCACTTTACCAGCTGGTAAAGGTGGAACCAGTGTTAACTACCCTCTATACTTACAGTACAATGTGAAGTACTTTACATCCTGCTGGGTGGCAGGTAAGCTGGGGTCTGATGACTAGATTCTGTTTCCTTATCTGAACCTGAAAAGGAACTAAGGTTATCAATGGTGGTCTTTTGGACAACTGTCAGGTCAGCAGTCTTCCCCATGATTGTGTAGCCTACAGAACTAGACTGAGACACCATTTAAAGGCCTTTGCAGGTGTTTTGAGTCAAATAGCTGATTAGAGTGTGGCACCAGGTGTCTTCAATATTGAACCTTTTCACAATATTCTAATTTTCTGAGATACCGAATTTGGGGTTTTCATTGGTTGTCAGTTATAATCATCAAAATTAAAAGAAATAAACATTTGAAATATATCAGTCTGTGTGTAATGAATGGATATAATATACAAGTTTCACTTTTTGAATAGAATTAATGAAATAAATCAACTTTTTGATGATATTCTAATTATATGACCAGCACCTGTATATATGTAGTTCAGTACAAGAAGTGTGAAGTAGCAGAAAATGGAAACTCTGTACTTGAGGGAATGTACTTAAAGCAGTTACTATTATTTAGTAGGAAGATTCAATCAGGTGGTTTCCTGGAGATGGTCTGAAACTATCCATAGAATGTAAAATGTAAATATAAAATAAGAGGAAAGAAGGAAAAACCTCGGCATCAATCAGTAAAGCAATGAAAAAGTGGTCAAATGGTGAGATTGTTCTGATCATTGGGATCGACCGAAGCAGCTACACAAACGGATCAATAAGTCGATCAAACAATCATTCACCAATAACTAGTGGGAGCTTTAGCCAATCAAAGTATTTTATTGCACTGTATAGTGTGACGTGAGCCAACAGCAGGCTCTTATAAAAGTGTCATTTACTCTTTTCATCATGTGTACAAAACAAGTCACACACACACTTGTACCGTACAAAATCAACACTATTTATATACAATGTACACACACACGCCATGCAGTCTCATTCTCATCCATCCGGGTTTCTGATGGGATTCCCTTCTTATCGAACATCCTCCGCCTCACACACACCGACACACACCTCAGGGACTGACACATGACCGCTACACTGCTACCAACAATCCCACACTGCTAAATTAGCCAAACAAGTGCCAAGCAACCTCTGATATGCATAACGATCTTTTCTTCTGATAAAAAGAAAGTGAAACAATGAAATGAAACCATCAGATCATGTAAACAAATAACACGAGTTATTCTAAATAGCGTTGAATAAAATCTTCTATATAACTTGCAACGTCACCAACAGCTCCTTCACTCCCAATACTGCCTACAGCTCCCATAATTCACAGCGAACCAAGGGGTACTTATCACTAGTCTTGGGATAAACTGATGTCTTTTAAAACTTTTAATATAGTTATTTACTTTAAATCTTATGTAGCCTCAGGACACCTGAGAAAACGTTTGAGTTAGTGCACAGGTGCTGGCAGCTGCTGCACTAAAGGCCCTCGGACGTTTTTGACTGAGGATTTCAGCCTAAAAAGATTCAATGATAAGTATTTTTCTGTGCAGAAAGCCTCATTCTAACTTACCACCACAGTGGGTGTAACGAAAAGAAATCTGCCTTATGTTCATACTCATGTGGTCTCTCATAGCGCAAGCAGTCTACATACAGTTGGTACCGGTGGTTAAAAGGCATCTTTACAGCCAGAATCACCAAAATAAAACTGTAGCTGTCTGAGTCTGTTACATTTGATCACACTAAGTGCTAGACTGAATTCTACAGACAACAGGGATCAGTAACTTTTTATTTTCAGTGCAAAGAACAGGCACTAAAGGATGCTGTGGTTTGTTTTGCTTCTTACTTTCATAATCAGACAGTAATGGACTATCCTTTCAGTAAGTACCTCAGCTGTGGGATGGTCACAAAGAGCTAAAAATAAAGGTGAGTTTGGTTTGAAGGTTACGACAGTCAGATGTTTCAGTATTCACAGCACAGACTGATTCTCAGATGAAAAACAGGCAGAACAGACTCAGTCCTACAGCTTCTCTCAGGCTCATTT